CTTGGAAGGCAATGACAATGTGTCATTCATTCACTTATTTATTGGACAATGCAGGGCTGTGTGTAAAATATCCTGTTTCGTTTTCAGATCACTACATCTCTTATAGTTGTTAAATACATGCATAACATCTCTGATGCAATACACAGTGGATAAACTTGAAGAGTTATGATATTGAGGAAAATCACTTGAAGTCAGCAGCACACTGCTAAGGAAGGGCAGGTAAAAGGGGGAAGAAATGAGTTTTAAGATGAGCTCAGCATGGGAAGCTCAACAACTATTCCAATCCAGGTTAAAAATACAGAGAAGATTAAAAAATATCTGTGGGTGAAGGCGGATTTCTCTAAGTGCTGAAATACAAAATAGAATTTTGTAGGAAATGAAAAAGAGGGGAGATTGGAAGGAATAGACGTAAACTAGCCACTAAGAAATGCAGGGACACAATGAGAGAAGCAAGAAAGCAAAATGAAATAATGTAGCTAGGGGACTCATAGGAAATAAGAAAAGTTTCTATAAATACATCCAAGAGAAAGAACAAAATAGGGAGAAAAACATAGCAAAGTAAAAACTTTGAGCAGGCAGACTTAAGAAATGACCACAAGCCGATTACATCTTTTATTCTTCTCAGTTGTCAGTAAAATCTAGGAAAAAGAATGAATAAAAAAGGAAATTGAGTATCTCTCTCTCTCTCTCTCTCTCTCTCTCTATATATATATATATATATATAGTATGTGCATAGAAATGGAGGAAGCTATTAATGACAATAATAGACAAAGTTATTATCACAGGAAAAGAGCAACTGTGAAATAAAATTTTATGGTGTGCTCCTACAGGTTAAAACTAAATGCCTTTCACAGTTTTTTTTTTGTTTTTTGTTTTATTTTATTTTTTTTCTTTCACAGTTTTAAAAAATAGCACAGTGTTATAATTCCTAAGAGCTTCCAGTGGAAAAAGGTAACAGAGAGAACTAATACAATTTTAGTTGGATCTTCTCTCTAGGAGTAAGTAGAAGGAAATAATAGACTGTGTGTATGATGAATTTAAATTTCACAGCAGAATTTAGGATGTAGTTGGAATCATCAAGGAAGTATCTTTTTATCATAATTGTAATTTTATTTTATATTTTGTTTCATCCCAAGTGTTGATGGGAGATTTTAGGTTCAGATTGGGGGGGGGTAGGAATGTCACAATCTATTTTATGATGGCGTTTTGTTTTATTTATTTTTGTTCACAGAAGGGTGGGAAGGAGGAAGGGAGGCTATTTGTAAGTTCAAACAGTGTCATTTGATGGATAATATGCATTGTTTTGCAATTTGAAATGCAAAGAAAACAAAATCCCTGTCATTATGCTCCAGCATTAAACCCAAGCATAATGATTCTTCCTTTTTTACCGTGCTACTTTTGAACATGTTCAGTGACTTTCATGATGACATGGAGAAGAGTCCAGCTAGTGGCGCTTCCACAATCTCTTGGATATCTTTCAGTTCATCCTTGCCTAGGTCCTTCTGCTGCCACATCCGCTGTGTCTTCTTCAGAGTGTGTGCTTTTCCTTTAAGTCCAGCTCTCTCTGCTGATAGCTACCTCAGTAGAATGTAGGGCAGGTATTTCTAAAGCCTTGAACATGTCTCCCTGTGTGGTATATGCTGTCAGTTCTTAGAACTGGCAAGGCTAATTGGCAATGATACTTTAATACCCTTAATCTGAAGGTTTTTCTGCACTCAAGAGATGCCTGTTCCATTTCCAGAAACAGAAGGAGAGACAAAATCAATGTAGATGGGGTTAATAATTATATCAGAAATAAATCTCATTGCAACACAGGTAGCTTCAAACCAGATAATTTAGAAATAGTTTGGATAATTACTAATTAGATCAACTGACTGTGAAGTTTGAATTATTCATGAAAGTCTGAAAGCAGAGAATAATTCATTTCTGAATACCTCTAAAACTAATTGGAATGTTGTTTATTATATTTTCACTAGGTGATGTACTGATATTTATTTCTTGCTTTATTTTTGACAATTTTATTTTAGCAGTACTGTATCTTCAAATCAAAAGTAGAACTGATAAGAATGATCCAACTACTTAAGAAATCATCTCAAAATTCAAAATATGTCAACTTTATTTGGCCATTAAGATCAAATCTATAGCCCTTACGAATTTACTTCTTGAAATACTTAGTGCAATTCCTTTGGTGAGTATATTGGGAACTTTTCTTCTATTTTACAATACTTTTTACTTTTCAAGATGTCTATTGCTTTATTTGATGTTTACTACCTATAGTGCTTCTTAGATTTAGCTTAATTTTTGCAGATTGTGGAATATTCAGTAATAGCTTTTAGAATGTCTAATATCTATATATTATATGTTTTTATTTCATTGTTAATCATGATTTGAGTAAATCTTCAGAAATGGAAACAAAATGAATTTTCAGACACTGGAACCATTTAAATATTTACTGATTTAATCATTGAGCTATTGTTAAGCAGCTATAGTATGTCATTTTCCCTTTGCTAGGCAGTGAAAATCATGTCACTTTTTCCAAAATTAAAATCCTAGTGAGGTGTGGTGAAACAGTAGCTATGAACTGGTTTCCAAAGTTGCTAATCTCGTGTTAGTGATGAATCCCAGGGATGCTCTGCCCAGCGGTGGTGTGTTTCTCAGCACCCTTTCCAACTATGTCCACTGCACATGGTTTTGCTTACAAAATGTGAACAAAAGTCATGTGTATTAGTTCCTTTTCAGCATTTGCAAGGTTTGTAAGAAGTAAAGTGCCATTTTTTCCTTTTCTAAAGCTAAGGAAGATACTATAAAGACCATTTGTATTATCCTATCTTGATTTTTTAGTTGTCACTGTAATAACCACTACTATGTGTTGATCAGTGTTTTGAGTGCATAGGCAAATAGTCTAGTTAGAGGTCTGTCATGTGAATCCATTTAAGAAATAAGAAAGGATTGAGGTATAGCTATTTCAGCAGGAGTGGAGAAAAATTATACAGATCAGAGTCAGTGAAAATGTGGAATTGAAAACATGCAATGGCTGAAGATCAAGCAGGACTAAATGAGTGGAGGATGCCATAGAATAAAAATATAAATTGGAGGCACAGGACACTCACAAGTAGGGAGAGCATTGTTCAGTCACAGAGGTCTCCATGGAGAATCAATAGACCGCCCAAAATATTCATTTGGAACTCAAGAGGGAGGTCTGGGGTGGACACAAATTTTAAACTTATATAGTAACTGAAAGTATAGAAGCAAATAAGACCATGTGGAAGAGTTGAGAGTGAATAACAGAGGACCACACTGGAGTGTCCATGAAAAGAGGTGTCTGCACTGGGATGGGAAGGATGGCACAAAGATGAAGGAAGAAAGGTATTGAAGAATATGGTCACCAAATTTTTGGAGAAGCCTGTCCTAAAAGGAGAAGGTTATCAGTTAATTTCATTTAGCAAAAAGTAATTCAATAAACACTGCTTAATATCTGTAGGCCTTCGGCAGAGCTCTGTACCCTGGGTCCTAGAGGCAGGCAAGGAAAATTTCCTGTGCTTGTAGATGAAATAACCTGGGGTGATACAGGATAGACAACCAAAGGAAGTGGTATTTGGGAAGAAGGGGTACACTCTGAGGAACAGTAAAACAGGGTCAGGAGCAGAGAGTGGCAAATGGAAGCCTCTGTAAGGAGATCACAAGAAGATCCTGAGTCTCTTGTGTAACCTCTACTTGAATAGAGGGGATGGAAGGACTCACAGGAAGTGCCAGTCATTGGCACCTTTGCCAAGAACAGTGTCTTTGGAAGGCTGGGAGCAGAGTCAGAATGCAGCAAGTTGAGGACTAAATGTGAAGCGAGGGAGGGAGAGAAACTGGGCAGTGTGGACAAGGGGCTTTAGAGAAGACTTATCTTTTTATTGTCTATATAAAATCTGAGAAGAGAATAGCTTAAAATGTTTGGTGGAAGGTCTAGGAGAGGAGGGATTAGTGGGGTGTAGCTGATAAATTTAATTGGTGGCAGGTAGGAAATTCATACGCCAGCTATATATTTCTACCTGAAGAGGAAAATAAAATAAAATGGCAGATGACTTGAAGAGTCACCCTAGGGAGCAAAAGGATGATTCATGTGTTTTGTAGGTTTAATATCAACATTTCTTTTTAATTACATTGATTTCTTTAAGTTACTCAGACCTTTCCAAAATAGTTTGTCTAATTTTGCTTAAATAGGCGCAGGTTTCTTCTTTTAGTTTCTGTGCTCATCTTACTGGATCTACACAGAACAGGATTCATTGCTGCCATTTGGAATATGTGTTAAAATTCACATTTTGGGAAAACAATGCTTTGATGAAATTTTTAAGAGCTGAACAAAATCAGAAGCCATACTTTCTAACTTTAGTATGTGTTAAAGATGTAAAGTTCATTATATTTTTATTTTATAATATGTTCTCATTGAAATAATATCCCAAATACTGGAAGATAATGTTTTGAAACTTTAATGCCTTGATACCTTTTTCTATTCCTCCTTTCTTGCCATAATAAAGTCCCCATTCTATGCAAAATTGTCTTGTTTCCTCACATTTTCCATGACAGCCAGGATCTTAAGATGAACCCTAATTAAAAGGCCTTTCTGTAGCTTTATTCCACTATAAAGCCCATTTCAAGTTTTTTACTTTACAGCCTTCACTAACATTTTGAGTCAACATTATTTCTTTCCTTGGTGAAGATGTTTTTTTAATTTAACAGGATTTTGTGTAGGTTCAGTCTTTTCTCTTAGATGTCAAGAACCTTGAAGATGCCTTCTTATGGGTTGTATCTAGATGTTCCCTCAAAGCCTCATGCAGTCAAGGTGTGGAGTTTCTAAAGTGGCTGGATTAGTGTGATACTAGGATTAAGGATGTGATCCTGGGATTAAGGTTGCCCCACCCTGAGAGTGGGTGGCACCACCCAAGGGTTGGGTAGCCAGATGGAATATAAAGGGAGAGAAGGATGGCTTCTGATGTGCTGCTTGCCCCTTGCTGTCTTCTTCCTGCCCTGCCATACCCTTGGATTGCTTCTCCTCTGTGATGCCCCTCTGCCATGCCACTCTGCCTCACCCAGCCCACCATGAACTGAAACCTCTACAAACTGTGAGACAAATAAAACTTTCCTTCTTTAACTTTGGGTATTGGGTATTTGGTCTCAGCAATCAGAAAGGTAACTCAGACATGCCTCTTCCCTTTATTTCCTAGCCTACTGTAGCCTACTGCTTCCTTTGCAAGTGGTTCCTCCTTCATGTGTTGATCTTTCAGTCATATGAGTCTGCTCTCCCCCCAGCAAGGATAACTGCCTTTCTTATTAGGAAGTAATGAAAGCTGGAAAAGAGAGGACCTTTTTTTCTACATCAGCCATAGGAAGTACTATCTAAGCATCTGAGAGTAATGACTATATTAGTTGTTACATAAGTTGAACCACCCAGAGAATGAAAAGAACTCTACTCACTTGTGGTTACTGCTGTAACAGATTGTCATAAATGTAGTGGCAAAGTAATGGAGCACCCCCTTTCCTTTTATATTCTTATAGTTCTGTAGTTAACATGTCCTATATGAGCTAAAATGTAGGTGTTGGCAAGTCTGTGATCCTTTCTGGAGAATTAGAGGAGAATTTACTCCTTCCTCTGCTTCTGAAATGTTCTCAAATACTTGCCCCAATTGCTTCTTCCTCAGTTTTTAGAGCCAGCAACAGCAGATCTTGTCTTCATGTAGCATCTCTGTCTCCTTTCTCTTTGTCATACTTCTCTCTAATTATAAAAGGTTCTATAATTTAATATATAAATGATTAGATTTGGCCCTTTGGATAGTCTGAAATAATTTCCCATTTCAAAGTCTTAACTTTGAGCATATCTATAAAGTTAAGGTAATGTTTTATAGGTCCATAAAATTAAGGCATGGCCCACCATACCATTAGATAGGAAAGCTTATCTTAGAGGCAGAGAATACTTATTTATTAATTTATTAAACCAATATTTATTGAGAAGCTACTATGTGACGAATACTGTTATAGAAACCTGGATTCATCATTAAACATCACTGAAATATTATCAATTTTACCTAAATCATTCTTGTGCTACTCAAGATTGTGTCTTACCTCTAATCAAGTAATCTCCTGGGCTTCCAATTTTGTATTGATGATTTCTGAGTTTTGTTTAAATGAGTTACTATTAAATTTTATCAATTAGACCTAAAACAATCCTGTCTCAGGTAGTAATAGAGTAAAAATACTTAGGATGTGTAATACAATATTACTCCCCCTTTATTAATTGCAACAGCCAAAGTTTAAGAATATCCAACAATTTGCATTTCAGAGAAATACCCAATCATCAACCATTTGCCCACCCCAAATAATATTTACTGATGTTAAGATGAAGATGAAATTGATTCAAAGTTAAGTAATTCCTTTTCTCTATAAAGCTTAAAGTATATCCAAAGAAAGATACAAAATTAACAAATCCACAAGAAAATTTGACCAATTTTAAATTAATGAGTCCACTATGAAAAATAAAATTTCCCACAAGACAGTGTGGGATACTGTGAGACATTGCCACAAGACTGAGTTCCACAGATAAAACTAGCAACAGGGCATTGGTTGCTGTGAGGGAGGTTAACATCGGCCCAGTTGCTTGAGTGCAAAAAAAGTTTCAGACACACTTAAAGCTGTTCCAGGGGCCCTGACAGATGACTTTAGCTTGTAAGTGAATTCTGGATGGCAGAGGTGTTTTCATGGGAAAAGTGTGCAATTGAAGATTCCTAAAATTAGGGTCAGCAATGGAGTCAGATTCCACCCCCATCATTTTATGGAGTTCATCACTCAAAACCTAAAAATGATAATGCATAGAATTTTGTCTCATCTATAAACCTATTTTTCTTTCTAAATTCTCTTGCAGCTAAAATGTTCTTCATATCACTTAATTCACAAAGCAAGCCTATAAAAGGAGATGTTCTCTTCATGTAGAGCACATATTTGATGTGTGGCAAAAGACAGTGGAAACATTGAGTATAAATGGGTTAAAGTGAATTGAAAGTAGTTTACTGCTGGCTCATTTCCTTATCAGGTGGATTGAGCCAAGGAGGCTCCTGGTGGCCAGGAAATATCAAGAAATTTCCATTCTGAACAAAAGACCATTAAAATCAAGGAGCTTCCCTGATCTCAAGTGCTTTGAACTTGGCTACAGTCAAGTGTTAATAAGGTCACTTAAAAATTCTGAAGCCTAATTGAAAATCTGAAATTTTTTTCAATATTTTATTTCTATCTGTCAATTAGCATTTCCTTGGGCTGTTTAGCATTATAGTTTTGAGTATTTGCTTTACCTTTGTTGCTTGCCAGTGAATTCTTTTTGAGTTCAAGAATATCTGCATCTTAGATATATTTACATCTTCTGAGACATCGCAGAAAAATGCCTGGAATTTTATAGGCTTTTGATAAATATTCACTGCATATATGTGATTTTTAAAATGAATTGTTTTGAAAAACAATCAGGGAGTAAAATTCAATAGTGCTACAGGACAAAAGAGATTTTTATTTAAAAATATGCAAAACACCCTGAAAATATTAGTGTAGAATAATTGCAAAGCAAAGTCCTTTAGAGCATTGATGCCATGTTCTGTTCTTTGATTTGAGACCTTAAAATATCTAAACTTTATGGGAAAATTAATTTAAATTTTTGAAATGCAAATTTATCTCACTGTATCATCTGATCTCTTTTCTTGCCTAAAGTAACACAGCAATACTGACTGCACAACAATAATGACTTAGGGGAGCATCTATTAGATATTCTTTCTTCAGAATTCTTGTTATAAATATTTTGAATAACATTTTTCAGATGCAAATATAGATAGATTGCTGCCTTCCCTTACTCTAATTCCTTCATGGAATTCATTGTTAGGATGGCTGCTGGACTCTTTGAGAAATGCGCATTAAATTTTTTTCAGTTCATTAGAGCTTCTCACAACATCCAAGGAATGGGTTGTGTGTCTGTAATTGTTGGAGTGTGATCGTTTAGTGTTGGACACAATGGAGACTCACTGGCCACATGATTGTTCAGTCAAACAAAATAAACATTACATTCCCTTGGAAAGTGCTTGTAGTATCCTGTGCATGGTGGTAAGCATTATCCTGCACACCCTGTGCTATTTTTTAGATATGGCTGTATTTTTTTTTGCAAGGCAAGAGTAATATCTGTTCTCGCACACAAAGTCTCAGTTCTGGGTATTGGCATCCTTGAAGAGGGGAGTGGGGTGGAAATGACAAGTAGGGCTGCCACTTCTCATTCCTGCTCTTCATTCAGGCAGAAAGCTCACTAGCTTTCCTGTGTTTGGAGTCTCACCAAGTCCACTCAGGCTTATGCTCTGGACACTCCAAAGGGCTCCTGTTCTGAGGCCTCTCCTTAGCTGTCACACATCTTTACAGAACAGGTTGTGTGCTTATCTGCTCAATAGATATAACACTCGGGCACTCTACTGTTACCAAACACAGCCCTCTCTGCTACATAAATATGTCTTTTCAGTTGATTCTTGGACACTGGTCAGAATGTAAGACTTGTCTTTGGTAAAGTGAACATTCAGTTCACATCTCTGACCTGTTGTTATTCTGACCTGTGGCCTAAAATCGGTGGGCTCTGTGAGGTTACATGACTTGCCCTCCCAAGGCTCTCTTCTCTGCAGGCCTGGGCCACATGAGTCTCTATCACCATGGCAGCTGGATTGTAGGGCCTGAGAGGTGGGCTTCTATGTTAGAGAAAAAGGGGTTGGATCTCAACTGTACTGTTCACTAGTTGTGTGACTTGAAGTATGTTGTTTTAATGTCTCAATGCCTTACTTTCTTTATTTTAAAGCTGAAAAACACATCCACAGAGATCCCATGAGCAGTGAATGAAAAAATGAGTGTGAAATTCCTGACCTAGCACCTGGTATCAGTGAGGGCTCAAGAAATAATAGTTATTCTTAAGATTGTTGTCCTTATGTATGGGTCTTGGAACATGCTACCCAAAATATGGAATTTTGGCAATGGAGGAAACAGCAGAAGCAACCTCTCAATTGACCTCCTGTCACCTTCTCCCTTGAAGCCTGACTTTAAAGGAGCTGTGCCAACTATCCTCACCCGAAAGTAGTCCCTAAGATGGTACTCCTGGTGCTCACATTCAAAGCCAAGGAGAACTAGAACAAATAATCTTTCCTAAGTTTCTCTTCCCCTTTGTTACCAATAGGTCATACCATCTTTTTGTCCCTTTGTACTATTATACAACTATACATTTTTCATCAAATCTGTTCATAAAAATACACAATATTTCCTGGGTCTTTGGGCATTAATTTTTAAAAACTCCTGTGTGACTATTTTGGTTAAAGTTGTTGCTAGTTTTTTCTTAATAACATATCTTTTGTTAGGGGGGTGTCTGCCGTGATACTTGCAATGTGTGAGAAAAAAGACATTATTTTGTCTACCCTACATTCTTACACAGGGCATTTATGGTCTCTGAAAAAATTATTCAGACCATTATACAAACCTTCTCATCTTTCCATTTGTAAGTCCTGGTGATCTCACCCAAATTTAGAGCATTTTACTTCTGTATTTAGACCTGGTCTCATTTATGTGATGTATTTTGAGAGTCACTTGTATTTTTCTAGATTTTATACATAACTTCACATTTTTCTAGTACTAGTATTAGTTAAATTGGCATTATTAAATAATTTTCAAAAAGAATAGGGGGAAACACTCATTTTAGGTTCTTTTGTGTAATTTAGGAATACATAGAATATTTGTGGACTCAAAAGTCTCACAATAAAGAAATGAAGAATGTCTCTTCATTTTGCTCCTCTGTTTTCATCTTCCTTGAGTACAGTGAATACCAGATGGTTTTGGATGTTTTAGGTCATTGAACAGAATAGACCACAGTCTGTTCCTGGAGGGGTAAAACCCACATGTAGGTGGTTCATGAAACAGAAATGGAGAAATACATTGTGGTAAAACACTTTTATATGCAAGGCAAAAAACATAATTTATTTGCATTCATTAAATTAACATTCTTCTAAGTAGGCACATTTCAGCTGAACAGTTGGGCTACAGATCTTGCAAGATCTGCTGCTGTATATCCAGA